AGAGACGGGGTTTCACCATGTTGACCAGGATGGTCTCGATCTCTTGACCTTGTGATCCACCCGCCTCAGCCTCCCAAAGTGCTGGGATTACAGGCGTGAGCCACCGCACCCGGCCAAGGTGACATTCTTAAATGAAGTGGGAAATATGTTTGTGTGAATATGTTTGTGCATTTCATTTTAAAGGCTGTTTGTCTCATTTCCATAGAATTGATTTTAATTTTGAGGACAAACAGGTGGGAGAAGCATGTTACAGAACATTATTTGCATCATATTTTTATGGGATAGTTATTGTTCTCAGTTATAGATATAAACCAAAGACTCAGAAAGGTAAAGTGACTTGACTACAGGGGCTAAAAGTGAGATTGCCTCGGCTTATGGAGTCTAAGCCTAATGTTTTGATATTGCTTCACAGATCCCCTTCTCTTTTCAGAGGTTGTGTTGATAATGAAAGATGTAGGTGAATTGGGAGCAAATTAAATTGTGACGTCAACACTTTCGTAAAATGAAACTTTTTTTTTTTTTGAGACAAGGTCTTACTTTGTCACCCAGGCTGGAGTGAAGTGGTGCAATCTCAGCTCATTGCAGCCTCCACCTCCCGGGTTCAAGCAATTTTCCTGCCTCAGTCTCCCTAGTAGCTGGGATTACAGGCACCTGCCACTGTGCCTGGCTGAGTTTTGTATTTTTAGGAGAGACGGGGTTTCACCATGTTGGCCGGGCTGGTCTTGAACTCCTGACCTCAGGTGGTCCACTCGCCTCAGCCCCCCAAAGTGCTGAGATTACAGCCTTCAGCTACTGTGCCAGGCCGAAACATTATTTTAGTTTCTTGAAAGCTTCCTATTCATGTCATGTACTGTTGTCCCACTTTGTCCTGGAAACAGTAATTATTATTCAGTTTAGTATGTAGCTGACAACATTTGCTCCTCAAATAAGATTGGTGAGATGAAAACCCTAGAGCATTTCTCTTGTATTCTCAGTATAAATCATGATCCGGAGACGGAGCTCTAAAGTATTCTAATAAAGTATAACTGACTTTTTATATTGATCATTGCAGCTTATAAAATGCCTCTTTTCGGCTGGGCGCAGTGGCTCATGCCTGTAATCCCAGCACTTTGGGAGGCTAAGGTGGGCGGATCACTAGGTCAAGATATTGAGACCATCCTGGCTAACATGGTGAAACCCAGTCTCTGCTAAAAATACAAAACAATTAGCCAGAGATGGTGGCATGTGCCTGTAGTCCCAACTACTCGGGAGGCTGAGGCAGGAGAATCACTTGAACCTGGGAGGCCGAGGTCCAGTGAGCTGAGATCGCGCCACTGCACTCCAGCCTTGGGGGACAGAGTGAGACTCCATCTCAAAAAAAAAAAAAAAAAAAAAAATGCTTATGACAGTTGTCATGCATGTGTGCATTTGTTTCATGGTCTCCTGGGCAGAAAGCAGTAATACAGTTAGTTTGGGGTTGACTTCATGAGGTAACAGAAAAGGTGAACATTCCTGCTCTTCAGATACACAGGTTCCCCACTCCTCCCTGTGTTCTCCATTGGCAGAATTCCATGTTTTCAAAAAATTAGCAATAGGACTAAGTTGAAGCTTATGTACTGTAGAAAGAATGATGGACCCTTGAGGAGTATGTGGGATAACATTTGTACCAGTCTGGTGTGGCCCTGTTTTATGGTGGCACATATGTTCCCTGTTTCATCCTAAGTCAGGTCCGAGTTACCTGTG